TTTGAGTATCAGAGTGTTCCATCTCATTTCCCTTTGGGGTTGCTGTAGGTGATCTGGAAGTCTGGTTTTGAGACTTATTCATGTGTTTTCTCATTTTGTCTGGGACAGGGGGCTGTTAGCGCCTGCATGTATTACCTCCTCTGAGCTGGGAGAGGTGGGACAGGGGCCTGGAGCAGCGGTAGGGATGGTGACGCAAAAACCCTTTCCTATGGGCTGGGTGCAGCGGGAGGGATGGTGGCCGGGAACACCCTTCTTCTGGACCAGGAGCAGTGGGATGGCAGCTCAGAAGCCCCTTCCTCTGGGCCGGGAGCAGCAGGGCAGAAAGTGGCCCAAAAGCCCTTTCCTCTGGGCTGGGAGCAGCAGGAGGGATGGTGACTGGGAAGCCCCTTCCTCTGGACCAGGAGCAGTGGAATGGCAGCTGAGAAGCCCCTACCTCTGGGCCAGGAGCAGCGGAACTCAGTACCTTGGTCTGATGGTCTTGTGTCCTCTGCCTCTTTGTAGTGTGGAACCAGGTGGCTGCCTGTCTGCAGAGGGGTGATTTGGCATCTTCTGCACGACTGGGGACCTCGGTAGGGCGTGGGCAGACCTGCCTGTCTGCAGTGGGGTGATTTGGGGTCTTCCACATGACTCAGGACCTCGGTAGGGTGTGCATAGACCTGCCTGTCTCCAGCAGGCTGATTCACCGTGTTCCATACGCCTCCTGGAGGCTTATCTTCTTAACTTGGCCATCCTCAAGTTCATAGAAGTTTCAGTCTATAATTGGCTGCCTCTGAGGCAGAGTGGCAGAGCAGCAACAGTTCATGGTGGACAGATGGTAGTAAAACAACAAGGGATAATGAAGTATCATGTAGGAGAACTGTTGGTTAAGCAGGAGAGGTGATTATTGATAACAGAAGTAAGCTGTAGAAAAAATAATAAAGAAAATATTAGAACACATGGATACACATTCTGTGCATTTAAGAAGGGGCAGAAAACAACTGAATTCTTGACACATGGACACTGCAGCATATGCTCTTCATATACCATATACTATATCAATTCCATGACCAATGTATGGGATAGATTGTACAGACCAAATCTTTTACCTTGTGTTACACAAAGAATATGGAACAGGGTCAGTGTTCCTTGCACTCATTCAACAAATGTTTATTAATCACCTCCAGATCCTGTTCTAGTTACTGGGCATAAGGAGATAAAAAAGAAAAGGAGGAGGAGGAGGGAGAGGGGGAGAAAGGTCACTATTCAGTGAATTTAATTTTAGTTGGAATACCTAGGCATATAAAAGTAGACAGAACCAAGAAGACATTTTCAACTGGAGACAGAAGTTGTAAGTATGATTATGGTATGATAGCAAGTACCTGGCATGGGTAGCTTCTTTAGACAGGGTAGTCATGGAAGTTCTCTCAAAGGTGACAGTAGCTGAGAAACCAGTTATTCAAAGAAGGACATTCTAGGGAATGAGAAAACTAAATGCCACTGGTCAGGACCAAGAGAAGCAAGAGCTGCTATGGAATAATTTTCAACAAGTGGTGATGTGACTTATTACAATATTTAGAATGGTGCTTTGGCTGCTATGTGAAGAACAGATTGCACAGGACAAACATGATGGTTAAGGTAGATTGTCAACCTGATTGGCTTAGAAGCTGGCCATCAGATTAATAAAGTACACTGTATCTCTGTGTGTGTTTAGGTGGGTCATGGAGGCATAACCTTTGTGTACGTATCTTGTCTCCTCCCCTTTTTCTCTGGTCCTGTTTCCTCACTCTGTTTCCCAGTCACCAAGAGTTGAGCAGCTTTGATCTGCTAGGCCCCTTGGCTATCATGTTTCTGCCTTTGAACCAGTGGCTATGGACTGAATCCCTGAAACCATGAGTCAAATTTAGCCTCTGTGCCTTTAAGATCTGAGTGTTTTATATTGTGTTCCAGAAAAATACAGCTGACTAATACATCAAGAAACAGGGATATTGATCTAGATTCAGTTGGTTTTGTCAGGTGAGAATGGACAGGTTTTTATAACCAGTGGAACAGGCATTCAGGATGTATTTTGAAAGCAGTACTGACAGAGCTTGCTAGCAGTTATGCAGGAGAGGGGTAATATTAATAAAAGAATGAATTATGAGTGTTTTTTATTTATTTCAGTGATTAGGATATTATAGTGCTATATTCTGGGATGGTGCAGGCTAAGAAAGAATGAGTTCGGAGTATGGAGCAAATTAAGAGTTCTTTTTTGGAAATAAATTTGAGATGCCTGTGAGATATCCAAGTAGCAATGTAGTACCGTGGTAGAAATCCTCATCTCTGGAGAGAGGTTGTCAGGCATCTAGTGCAGCCTCTACTATTTGTGGCTGAGTAACCACGACCAGTCAGTTATGCCCTCTATAGAATAAATATAATAAAAGAGTATTTTTCAGAGTCATGATGATCAAATTATAATACATATAACAAATAATTGTGCTTAACTTTTCCTCATCTATATATCTGCACACATATGAGGTGATAAAAATAAGACAAATATTTAACTTAAAAATTATTGCCGTAAAGGATACAAACCTATGAATCTCCTTCAAAATATTCCCCCTTGATTCCAACACACTTATCCTATAGTTTTTGCCACTTTCTTAAGCAGTTCTGGAAATTCACTTTTGTGAGTGTGTTTATGAGGTGTGATAAAAAAAAATACAGTGACTGCTGCCGTCGAGTGCCATCCAGCAGAAAGACAGGCTCCCAGGAACATTAGTGTGTCCTCATTTACCTTATTCACCAGTTCTAGCACCATGTGACTTCTTGCTCTTCCCCAAAGTCAAAATAACCATGAAAGGTAAATATTATTGAATCAGGATATCAAGGCAGCAATGACAGAAATGTTGATGTCTACTAATATACATATATATATATAATTAATATCCATATAATATATATCCAGAAGTTGAACCTAGGACTGGGTGAAACTTATGTGTGACGCTCAAGAAAAGGATAAAGCCAGTTGAATTTTAGCACTAATGAGACTTGGTCTGTTTTTTTTTTTTTTAATCAGTGAGTTCCCTGATGGTTTTCTGCCTCCCAACCATGCTGTAGCCAGGGTCGACCCCAACTCACCAAACACTGAAGGGCATGTCATTTCCTGTCCCAAAGCCTATAGAGTCTCACTGTTAACTACAATGTGAAGGGTCTCTGCTTGTATCCCCCAAAATTCTTGCATTGGAGACTGGTTCCCCACTTCAACAGTATCAAGAAGTGGAACTGCTAAGAGGTATTTAGGTCATGAGGGTAGAGATTAATGTTGTTATGACAAGAATGGTTAGTTACTGGGTGAGTGTGTTCTTCACAGAAGTAAATTTGACCCTCTCCTGCCTCCTGACCCCTTTTCTACCTTCCATCTCTCTTTTCTATCATCCATCATGGGATAATATGTGAAAGCTCTCACCAAATGCTGGCACCAAGCTCATGGATTTCCTAGCTTCATAAGCCAAATAAATTTCTATTCACGACAAATAGCCAGATTCAGGTATTCTGTTACAGCAACAGAAAATGGATTAAGACAATGATTATGATCTTAACCTAAGTACAACATTTGGCCTTTTCTTCTCTGTTGCTTTCATTTGGATAAGTTAGTTTTTTCATTACAGTATTAACTTTTAATAGCCTCATAGTTATTTATTAATTTATTTTATGGATGCCTATTATGTGTCAGCATTGAGCCAAGATCTAGGACAATTAAATGAGATTAATCTTATATATTTTGGTTCTGCCTTTCAGATGTTCCTGACAAAGACGTATCTAAAGCACATCCTGTAATACAACATATGGGAACAGAAGTACAATAAAGATAGAAGATAAGCACCAAGAGGGAGTGGCTGAGGGATAAGGAAAATGGAGTGGTCACTTGCAAAATGAAGGCAGAAGTTGGAGTTGAGGGGGAGCAAGGAGAAAGATTTTTCTATAAGAGCCACCCCACACAGTGGCAGGGAGCATGATCTTGATGGCATATTTGAGGAATTATGCATTCCGTCTCCTTTTTTCACACTAAACTTTCACCTGGCCTTGTGATCCCATTATTTTCGCTGGCATTGCTCTAGTCCCAGGGTGATCCAAGGCCTTGTAAGTTCATAGAGTGCTATTACAATTGACAGTATGGATTCCGGAGTTGAGCTAGGATGAGCTCTGGACTCGGCCTCACCAATTGATATCTACCCAACTTTAGGAGAGTTGTTTGTTCTCTATGAGTTTTGGTTTCCTCATCTGTAAGATAATGATAATGAAAGAGCCTAATATATGTATGTGTGTATATATTAATTGGCTTTGTGTGTAAATGTGTTTCCTTTGTGTCACTTTTGAAACACATACTGACTTTTTTTTTTTAATTGTTTGTGAGTGCTGAATTAGCCCATTATTTATTTATTCAATAGGTTCAATTATTGGAGTGGGGCTTTATAGATGACACAATGGCTGCAACATAAGCAATGAATATTGGGGACACCTACTTTCCTCCTTTCTTCACTCAGACCTCTGAAAAATGTTGTATCTTAAGTAGATTGGTCTCTTACAGTGAGTTACAGGGAGCACATTTTTATAACATTTCTGGCTTCCACTTTGAAGTCCCCTGAATCCCCATTTTGTGGACCTCCCAGTGGTAATGGTGGACTCTAAGAGCTGAGGGGCTCAGTCCTGTAGCCACAAAACCTGTATCAGAATAGAACTGCTCCAGAGAGAGGCTTAGTGCAGCCTTGACTTCAAGATCAAGAATTGTCTGCTTGAGAAGCAAATGGCTCCACATGGAGTTCTAGGAATTGTACTGACTCCTTTCAATAAAACAGAAGTGTGTGTGTGTGTGTGTGTGTGTGTGTGTGTGTGTGTTAAGATCTGGCCAGCTTCTTTTCAGAAAAGACAAGAAATACCATAGTTTGGTTCTCAATAAAAATAACAAAACGTATATTAATGTATGACTTTGGGCTTAAAAATTAAGTATTTCTTAAAGACTTACTTGGTGCCTGGCAGCATAGCCTGCTCCTGACAGACCTTACGACCACAAGAAGAGATAGATGTGCCAGATGAGTACATATTACATAGCCAAACATCATTCATGGAGGAGAGCCCTAAAAACAACTTTATTTTTGTCCCCACTTTCCATTTTGAATCTGTTCAATGAGGAAACTTTTTCTCTACCGTTGGGTAAAAACTAGAGTCTTACATGACTTTTTCACTTACTTTGAGGTTATGAAAGTCCAATGACCACATTAAGAAAAAATAAAACAGCCTCTATTTGTAAGTTAAGGTGCCCGGTCCAAATCCACATTTCAATATTCATTCAGAGATACGTCCTCACCTTCTCTAATCTGCCCTCCCTAGCTCTTCCTTAGGCAACTTCTCCTTCACTTTCTGACTTCATTTCAGGCCACTCTGAAGTTTTAGAAGGAAATGAGAGGAATAAGAAAGTTCTCTCCTGGTTGCTACTATTGTAAGCTGTGCGCCCAGACTACCTCAGGTTCCTTAGGTTTGGGTTTTGTGCAAACTTCTGTGTCCAGTTGCAGAAGCACATGAGACTTCCCAGTGATTTACAAATGCCTTCTCACTAGGCTTGGGGTTAATAGAAAGCCTCCACTCTCATCATCAAGAAAGGAGGCTGGAGGCTATGAAACAGCTGTCACCAAAATATTCCTCTACAATTCCAACTCTCTCGCTCTTTCACATTCTTTTTGTGGGAAAGTTTGTTAACTTAGGAAACCTATTGTTAGTACTTCTTTTGAAACATTGCACCTGGCTCTTCATGTTGGCATTTCATAGGTACTGAGCTTTGGTGCATCACTTTTGACTTCCATTGTCTTGCTACATGTGGTATGTAGGTAAAGACTGTAAGAATTTATGCCCTTTTGTGTATGTGGTTGGGACTCCAAAAGAAGAATGAAATGGGGCACTTTATGCAGTCTCTGCATATAAATGGCAGTCCTAGGGGAGGTTTTTAAAAGAGGAGAATGCTGTTGCAGGACTAAAGGATGGAAATATTGAGATTCTCATAGTAGACAGAAAAGACTATGCAATTAAGTGGGGGGGGAGTGATATAAGTGTCTCAGTTACTTTCTTGACACCAGGGCAAACCAACAATCACAATTTAAGGGAGGAGCAATTTATTTTTGGTCACACTTTTTAAAGGGTTCAGTCCACAGCTGGCTTGTTCCAAGGCAAGGAAGGCATGAGGGAAGGGTGTGGCAGAAGAAAGCTGCTCCATCATAACAGCCAGGAGAGAAGAGGGAAAAGGAGCTGGAGAGAGAGAGAGAGAGAGAGAGAGAGAGAGAGAGAGGCCTTCCAGATCATGTCCTAACAGCATACTCAGCTACTGAACTCAGCAGTAGATGACTCCACTGATGAGTATAGTACCCCCATGATTCGATCATCTTCCACAAGCTCTACCTCTGGACACATGAGGCTTGAGGGGGCATTCCAGATTACACCATAACAATCAATAAAGTGTCAAGAAGAGCTAAAGCTAATGGATGAGATTGAGAAGAAAGAATGGGGCTTCATATGGTTGGCAGGACTCCAAGATGAGTTCAGTAGCTTATGCCCTTGTATAATGTGGTCTCCCTGAAGATTGCCAGGACCTGTTCTATGATGGACTGTCACTTTTGGGATTGTATTATATGCAAAGGTGAAGGGAGTTTTGCATATGTAATTCGAGTCACTAATCAGTTGACTTGCAGTTAATAAAAAACCGTATTGTTCTGGGTAGGACTGGCCTTAGAAGTTGTATCTTTAGAAGAAAGAGTCTTGTCTGTTGGCCTGGAAGAAAGCATGCAGCCACTTTGTGGATGGACATTCCAATGGGAACGGTCGACTCTAGAAGCTGAGGGTCTCAGTCTTGCAGCCACGAGATAAAAAATTCCAGCCACACTGAATGAGCTCGAAAGACAATCCAAATCACCAGATAAAACCACAGCCTTGGCTGACCCCTGGATCTCAGGCTTTGGTGTTCCTGAGCACAGGGCCCAGTCAGGGATTTCCGGGGGTCTAGACTCACAGAAACTGAGGTAATAAATGGTGTTCTTTCAAGATGCTAAACTCATGGTAGTTTGTTATGTAGTTATAGAAAATGAACGCACCCCCCCCATCAGACTGCTTCATGTTGGATCATGTTAATATGAACACAAGAGCTAGCAAGCTAATTAGATGGGATTTAGGCCACCAGATTTGGTGGAGGTTATAGTGTTTAAGGCAGAAAGTCAACTTTATTGGCTTTGAGATCTGCTCAAGGTATTGCTGGAATATACTTGTGGGTATGTCTATGTGAGTCATGAAGGCATGGTTTGTGGGTCTGTATATAGTTCCTTGCCACTTTCTCTCTGGCACTGTTCACCTGCTCTGCTTTTTGGTTGCTAGGAACTAAACATCTTTGCTCTGCCACACCCTCCCAGTTGACCATGGACTGAATGTCTTTGAAACAGTGAGCCAAATCTTCATCTAAGTTGTAAATGTTAGACATTGTGTTCCAGCACCTGGAAAGTTAATACAGAAATGTAGTATTCAATATAGACCTAAATATGTTGGGTTAAAAAGCAGTCTGGTTTGCTCATGCTTCATATTGCATATAGATTGGCTGGGGTTGTTTCTCTGCATTATTTCACCATACAACCCATGCTCATGGTGCTTCCTCTGCAGTTTTGCTGAAAGTATTGCAGAAGACAAGTAAAAGAATATAATGAATTGCATAGAGACATCTATGGCTTCTACCTGAAAGTGACACACTTTATTTTCACTCACACATCATTGGCCAAAAAAATTACAGGGATACATCTAAGTTTAAAGGTCAAAAGAATGAATCAGGCATATTTATTGAACTTCATTAGTCAGTCATTTTAGGTTTCTGAACAAAAAGGTCTTTTTAGGTTCATAAACAAAAAGATGACAATAATGGCCTGGTCTCCTGATTTAGATTCAAGTAATCAGAGAAATTAGAGGAGAACTAGGAGACAAAACCTTATGAAATTCAAAGGAGAGTTTCCAAACAAAGGGACAGAAAAAGTGACAGATTCTTAGAGAAGGTGCTGAAAGGAGGAAAGGAAAGAGTTCTGTATTGTAAAAAGTAAAGGGCTGATGTGGGCAAGAGCTCTGTGAGTAGTCAATAATAGCTAGCTTGTTGAGGGACACAGACTGAAAACTGTGAAACAATTGGTGAGTAGGGTGATAGATATGGGAAGAAATACAACCTAGAGGGAACGATGTAAGTTCTTCCTGTGGGAGAATCTTATGTGTTTATATATACAGAAAAGGGGAAAGCATTAGAGAAGAAAATGTCCATTGCTCACGTGAGAGATAGCATCATTCCCACTAAGGCTGATCTTCTCAAGGAAATGTTAGTCTCTTCCAGGAGGAGGGAGGTCTCCTCAGTAAAACTTGAGAGAAGGAGAGAAGAGTGGTCCCATGATAAGATGCAGTGGAGCTGAAGGTGAGACCATTTGGGTCTGGAGAGCTCATTTTGCTTTATAATGACATAGGTATTTATGTACAGGGAAAGAAAGATGGAGAAAACACAAGGCACATGGAATTTTAAAAACAAATATCATTGTACCCATTTGGGGGAATTTGGGTAGTATAAGGGAGCTTCCCAGAGCACAGGGCAAGAAGGAAATGGAGCCCAGTGAACTGGTTGGATCCAGCTCTCCCTTCTCATACTCATCACATCCCAGCCAATCTTGAAATACCATGTATGGGGTAGAGGAGAGCATAGTAGGTGTATCTTTGCTCAGGTCTGAATGGAGAATGGCTCTGGATAGAAACCTGGCATGGTGACTTTGGAGAATGTTTGTGATTTTTGAATATTTCACTTTTGTGAAAATTGCAGAGTTGACCTCACTAATCTTGGCATATCTGAATCATGAGGAATATGACTTTGATGGCTCTTCATATTTTTGATAAAAAGCATTTTGCCTCTGTCAGGTGAGAGAAACTTTTTCAATTTTCTGAAGATTTAAGTTTAGTGATTTTCCTTTTTGGGAAGTGTTTTTTGTGTTTAGTGGAAATTTACCATGTGTTCTCTTGAAGTGCATCTCAAAAGCACTCTTTTTTATCTTTTTGGTGGTTGTCATCAGTAAATTGGAGGAGGGATTTTCTTCTATACGGATTATGTTGATGTACCAATCTCTTTCTTCTCCGGGGTTTTTAAAGAATCTTCCACGATTTGTTGAGCAGGAGGAATCTTCCTGTGACAGCCCTGTAAAGGATGAAAGACAATAAAGACAATCTAATAGGCAGTCAGTCAATTAAGATTTTTGTCTGGAATAAATTTAGCACATCTCATAAAATTTTGATAGATGCTACCTTTCAGATGCTTAGAATATTATTATCTAGCCCAACATTTCTCTGCTTTTTTTTTCTTAAATTCTTTTATTGGTACATTTTAGGTATACAACAAAATTACATTTCTCATTGGGAACTTGTACCTTTACATAATG